TGGTAAGATTTCTTGAAATACTTGATTTGACTCAATTTTTTTCTTATTTCAAGAATCTTACCAAGTAAAATTTTCTTACTCCATTGGCAGAATTTTTTGACTTGAGTCAAATTTTCAGGCTAACAAGACAAATAATCTTACACATTCTGAAAACAAGATTATTATTCTTACACAATCAGTTCTTGTTCAGTAAATCAGTCTCAAAGCAAGGTCAAAACGACTTTTTGGCTGGATATAAGATTTTAAAACTTGGTAAGATGGACAGTTTTTGCTGTGGATTCTTCAGCCTGTAGGTCTTGGCTGGCCAGAGCTAAGGACCACACAAGTTTGGGTCCGCTTTCCAAACAAAGGCGCCAATCCCCTTCACTCTGACTGACAGGCTGTCAGCAAAGCCTCGGCGCACACTAAACATGTGACCAACCGGAAGTAAAGGGGAGCCGAGCCTCTCCGTTTTTGTCTCCTGTCAGTCCCACACGATACTGCAGCCCAAACTCACATTCATGCTTTAAAACAATACGTCTGCTCGACCATCTTTATCTTATTCTGTCGGCCAAATAAGTGACCGCTTTGCTACGAAAAGATGTTTGCCCACTCTGATTCAAGCAGGAATTAGCCAAGAAGTTTCTTAAGTTCTTCATTCCAGTTTCACTTTATAACAAGTTTGTTATCAAACTGGTACAACTATTGAATTATTCCAGCTTAACTTAAAAATAAAAAAGAAGTCAATTTTTCACCACTGATCTTTAATTTTTTTATTCCTCTGGGTGTTGAACAGTAAAGCTCACACAGTCAAGCACTTAAACAWTATCCAGTTCTTGCTGTGACACATTAAATTTAAAGATGGTGATCTCTGTCTAAAAACCTCGTTTGCTGATTTTCTTTWCAGATACAGTGTTTGGCAGCGGAAAAACTCCAGACTATCTCCTCTTGGGAAACATGGTTTATACAGTAAGTACATCAATCTTCTTGACGTTTTTGCTGAGWTGATAAAGAAATACTTTTGATACATTTGATAATCAAATGCTAAAATCACATTTAAATCTACAAGTACTTTTTTTAAAAAATACATATGATAAAAAATAACACTAACAAATGTCAGTTTTTTGTTGATATATTATGGTTTGTGCTTCTGCAGTTTGTTGTCATCACAGTTTGTCTTAAAGCCGGTCTCGAGACCTCATCCTGGACCACGGTAAGTTGAAAACTCATTCTAAAGTTCTCTGATCTGTTTTCAGTCCCATCATTTAATACGACCGCCGATACCTATGGCACATTTTACATACTTTCCGTATCTTTAAATCTCCTTATGGTTTGCTCCTGTGAGGCTTGTAACAGTAAAACTGGTGAAATGTATGGAAACTCTCTCAAGTCCGCTTAAGGAACTTGTTTAAACTCTTAAGCCCAGATGAGAAAAGCTCAACAAACATATGAGTAAAATTTATAAGTACAGAGGGACGAGACATTTTCATCCCTCAGTACATCGTTAAAGAAGAAAAAAACAACTAAATGTTTGTTTTTGTTTTTCAACAGTTCAGTCACATCGCCATCTGGGGAAGCATCATCCTGTGGGTGGTGTTTTTCCTGGTCTACTCCTCCCTTTGGCCCCTCATAACTCTGGCACCCGACATGTCAGGCGAGGTAAACTAACAAACGCTTTCATGTGTTTGGATACTTATAGATACTCAAACATACCTGCTGCCTTTACCCCAACGACCGCGTCTTTCCACGGTCCTGCTAATATCTGACCCTGATAGACCTGCAGCACCTTATAGTTTAGTTTCTGCTGGTGGGAAAAGTTCTGAGAAAAAAAAACCCCACCGGGTCTTTACAAGTCAGYCCAGTGGAGTGTAAACTGTCAGACTTCTGGCTTGTGTTGCTTACCGACTTAATTGGGCCAATTTTCCTTGGTGTTTGTGTTACATTTCCCCCCCTCAGCCCTGAGTATACACAGGTGACGCAGAAATAATGAAGACGTCTGCTAATTAAACAATGAAAAATGAGGTCAGTAGACATCCAAAACAACCACAGTCTTCACAAACACAGTCAAACGTTCCCTATAGAACATTAAATACCCTAAATATAAAAAAAACTGCAGTTTTCTTTTAAAGGTTTATTTTACCAGAGTGTTGCTAATTTACTGGTTCACTGCAGATTTTCAAGGGGAGATTAAACATTTGACATTTCCCAGTGCGATCTGGGGGGGGACTGCGGTGTCTTTTCATTAAAGAACAAGAACTCAGCAGGAGATTATTTAGGAAAYAGGCCTCATACAACCCGCGGAGGAAATAAATAACCTCTTACAGTAAATATTGTCTTCGCAAGGATGCTGGTAAACAGATAYCATCATGGTTTAATGAAGGTTAACGATGAAAACATTGTAAAAACAGAAAAAAATCTGCCTCAGGAGTAGTTCTTGTTGTACACGTAATTAGATTAAAAAAGGGAAAAAAAACATTAAAAAACGTGGTGGGCTGCTTGTCTGAATACACAAAATAAAAAATAAAAATTTTAGATATGCTGATAATTACTTTAGAAGTAATAAATGTACAACTGTATTATTTATTTATTTATTTATTTATTTATTTATTTATTTATTTATTT